TTTTACCTGAATTTATAACATGCAGATATGAAACAGAGTGTACACAAAATATTTATGGATCTCACTTTAGGAAAAAAAAGCAAACAAATCAAATAATCTCAAATTTTAAAATCATAATAATCATATAATTTGAAATAAGTGGTCAGTGTGGTGACCACTATGGTTTCCTGGCAAATAGGCTATGGATTCTTCCAGCATCTTCTCAACTGTTACATAATTATGTATTAAGTTTATAACCATACTTATAATTTGAAGTTTTACAAATAAATGAAATTTTTCTATATGTAATGTGTAAACTGTAATCTGCTGATATTGTAAACCAAACGTGTTGGGGATTTACCTCATTGTTTAACTGATGTCTAACATTTCTTGCTGGGAATATGTTATAATTTATTCAAAAAGTTCTGAATCATTGTCATTTATGTGTCTTTAAACTTTTAATTAATGAAAATGATTCCATGAAGAACATTTTTGAAGAATAATCTTTGGATACTTGGACACCTACCCAATAATCTTTTGGGTACCTCAAGTCTGGAGTATACATATTTTGCCAGCAGAAATTTCTGGCTCAAAGTAAATGAATCTTTTTAGTGCTAAAAAATATGATCAAATTTGTGTAAGTAACATCTTTCCTCACATCATTATGCCTAAATATTTTCTTTTTAAATGTTACTACATGGCATAAAAATAATGTTAATTGTGGTTAGATTTACTACTACTTATTTAGGGGCAAGGTTGAGTATGTTTGAGAATTTTTGGTGAGCTTTTGTGCTTATTGTACAGTGATTTGACTTCTTATACCATTTGACCATTTTTCTTTTCTTTCATTTTTCTTTTTAGGAAATAACGTTCTTTTTTATTTAGATTCATCAGAGATTTTATATGATATAGATATTTGTCATTAGATTATGTGTGTTAAAAATATTTTCTCTTGGTTCTGCTGCCTGCCTCACAAGTGCAGGGTCCTGAGTTCAATCCCCAGTAACAACAACAACAAAAAATTTTTCTCTTAGTTTGTTACTTATCATTGAGCTCTTGGTATAGCATATTTCATTGAAAATGGGTTTTAATTCTTAGCCAATCAAAAATGAGAAAATTGAGAATCCAGAAGGAAGCTCCCCTGCCACCATCCCAAGCTCCTAGGGCCGAGAAGTTGAGCCAATTCCAGAACCCAGAAGGAAGCTTCCCCACCACCATCCCAAGCTCCTAGGGTAGAGAAGGTGAGCCAGTCCCAGCACCTGGAAGGAAGCTCCCCTGCTGCCGTCCCAAGCTCCTAGGGCAGAGAAGGTGAGTTGCACAGGCACCAGAAGGAACCCCCACCCCATGAAAATGAGAAGACACATAAACAACCCTCAAAAACAGACTTCTGGATCACCTACAGCAACTCGAAAGGGAAATGAGATGGAACAATCTGATACTCAACCACCTGGACTCTCTGAACTGGCAACAAAAGAGGATCTGGGAAAAATGAAATCAGAAAT